ATGACCAGTTTCGTAAGGCCTCTACCATACCTAGAAGTGATCTACTTAGGACTCATGCCAGATCTAAGAGGAAATTATTCCCATTTGTGACCACATTTAATCCAAATTTACCTGATGTAAGTCGCATCATTAAAAAACATCTGGGTATTTTGGAATCCAATCCCAAGTTAAAAGAGCTTTTTCCTTCAAATTCCATCATAGCATCCTTTCGCAGATCTAAAAACCTTAAAGAATTGTTGGCGCCATCCCGTTATGGCCCTAACATTGAAAGCGAAGGGGTTGCTGAGGTCAAGGGATGTTTTAAATGTAATAGAACAAGATGCGATCTTTGTCGCAACTTCTTGGTTGAATCTAATTCCTTTTTAAGTTTTCAAACAGGCAAGAGTTACAAGATACGATCGAAACTTTCCTGTGATTCTAAGAACATAATTTATTTGGCTTCGTGCAAGAAATGTCGCCTACAATACATTGGTTCCACAACAAATGACTTTAGAGTTAGATTTCGCAACCACAAGTCTGCTATGGTCACTAAGAAAAAGACCTGTGAAGTAGCGGTACATTTTAACAAAACACCACATGATTTAAGCGATTTCTCATTCCAATGCATTGATCAAGTGCAGGCGACAGTAAACAATTCAGGTAACATCGAGAAACTTCTAATTACCAAAGAAGCATATTGGAGCGCACAGTTGTTCTCTCTGGCACCCTTCGGCTTGAATAAGCGCCAGGAATTTCACTCCAAAAAAAGAATAAACTATAATTAATGCGGAGAATTTTTTCAAATTGGGCGGGCATCAAAGGTCCCAGTCTCAGCGTTGATTGGGAATTTTAGTACAATTCTCGCCTTTCAAGTCAACGCTGGTTCCTTAACATTTTCAGTGGATTCGACAATTTTTCCATTTCTTTTTATTGTGATAATTTTTCGCGTAGTAATTACTGTGTTTGTTTATATGTGTCATCACGCCCCATATAAATCTATTTAAGGAATTTGTAAGTCATTGTATTACAACTGATGAAGGTCTCGGACCGAAACGTATTTTATTAAACTTTCTTAGACTTTTTATTTGAGTATATGTCTTTCTTAGCTCCAAGTTGTCCGTGCTCGTGTACTACAATATTTTTCTTACTATTTTTCGAGGTTTGGACTGTGAATCCCTTTGGATTCAAATCCCGCTCAGGGCAAATTTTCTTTTCAAACATTTATTCTATTTAAGTATGATTATTTGGGGTGTACAGGGTCAGGGTTTCCCTTGTATACAGAATATATATATATGTATATAATGTGTAGTAGGAAGAAAAAAACAACTACATATACATCCCTACAGACCTGTTTCATGTTTGCCCACTCATCAGTGTCCACATAATACCCGCTCTACTATTTGTATCGAGCACTGTTTCATGGACACCAAGTTTCATCCCCCTATATTTTTCCCTACACTTTATATTACACACACACACACACACATATATATATATATATGTGTGTGTGTGTGTAATATAAAGTGTAGGGAAAAATATATGTAATATTTAACAATTATTCGCCTCAGGTTCGGTGAATATCGTCGAATAATCCCAGAGACGAAGTCGAGGGGATTATTCGACAATATTAACCGAACTTGAGGCGAATAATTGTTTTAGTATAATTTCAGAGCTGAATAACAGAGAAATTTCTAAGATCATAACAGCTTAGTAACATTTTTATTTAACATTTTATTTTAACATTTTATATAAACCGCGTGGAGCGGTTTATATAGCGTCATATAAGGAACCGCTCGACCAATCAGATCGCTGGAAACTCTTTGCTCAACTCTGAAATTATACTAAATAAATATATGTAGGGAAAAATACATGTAATATATATATTACATATAGTACAAAGGAAAATTTGAATCGATGTTGAATGAAAGTTTAAACCGATTTAAACTTGATTCATCACGCTTTCAACAAGCTTTCAAAATTTTTTACGTTTTCAACAATGTTGTACGACCTGTTTAAACGCACCGAACATTTGTTTTAAAAAAGTGTTGAATGCACATTGAAGCAAATGTTGAAACCGTTTAAACGGGCCTTAACCTCGAGCTTATCAGCTATTAAATCGACGTCGTGGCTGAGGAATATATATATAGTGCGCCTGTGCTGATATATAGGCAGTGCGTCGAAAGGTTGTCCAAGAAACGCGCCATTATCATGATAATATGCGCAACAAAATCAAATGGCCTTAGGTCAAATAGGGGAAAGTTGTTTCATGAAGATGATATTGGTTAATGTATTCACGAATTCTACTCCCCTCTACTAGAATAACCAGGTAACACCGTGTCGTCGGTCAAGCAACAGTACACAGTTCCACATAAAGCCATCTAAAGTTGTATTTTATGGTTCATCTTCCTTTCTTTCAGTTGGTCTTTGCGACTATTTTTGGTTAATTTGGTGTTCCGACACAATAAAAATGCGTTCTATATTACCTCGTGTAAGGGATAATAGCCATGAGCCTAAAAATAAATTTTTGCGAAATTTTGATTGTCGAAGCTAAGAAAGTATCATTCATTGTCATATTGAAAACGAAACCTCGTTAAAATTAACTTTCAACGCACTTTAAAACACGCCTACTACAAAACTAGTTTCGTGTTTCAAAGTGCGTGTTTTAAAGTGCGTTGAAAGTTAATTTTACTGAGGTTTTGTTTTCAATATGATAAAAATAAACTACAACTTTTGAAATAAGACCTAGATAGGGGTTTCAGTCCCTTAGAATAACGTTCGCTCTGACGAAGGGCTAACCCCCGAAACGTCAGCTTTTTAACTCTTTACGGTGGCAAATTTACAATTTCAACTTAGTTGATACAACCAAATTACCTTAGAATAACGGTTTCTCTCTCTCTTTCTTCACTCTCTCTTTTGATAGTGCACGATGATCAAAAGTCCTTCAGTAAGAATTCACACCTATGAGGCAAGGACACAGATCACTTGTCTGTCGGCGCTAAACCACATGCGACCTTAAGGCGAGCTAAAACTTGCCTGACCTGCATACTGCTAAAATTTCTGTTCCCAAGTCTTACAATTAGACAACAGCTCAAGTTACAACAGGTTTCTGTATCTTAGAGGCAAAGTATCAGGTATACCGGTGCGGGATCGAATGGTAACGAATCATATTCAACCAATGTTTCGGTGAACGATACTAACCTACGAACACTCGTGATCACATCAAAAGTAAAACTTTATTTCTGTGCTGATCATTTGTAATTATTTGTAATCATTTAAAAAGCATGCAAAAGCAGAATTAGCGAAGAAATAGGATACTGGTATCTCAACATATAACTATAGAATATTTTATAGTGTTAGTTGTTATGATTGTTATTTTAGTAGTACTAGAGTAATTTTAAGTTATTTCTATATCAAGTGCAAGTAAGTTATTATATTTTATATCATTAGTCATATTTATGTTATATATACGCATATTATAATTATAATTATTTTGGACGTTGGCGAACTGACATATAAGCGTTGGCGAACTGACATGTAAGCGTTGGCGAACTGACATTAGAAGTTGGCGAATCGACCTCATACATTGGCGAAGTGTTCGTTGGCGAAGTGTTCGTTGGCGAAGTGTTCGTTGGCGAAGTGTTCGTTGGCGAAGTGACACGTTCGCGAAACGACCTGTTACCGTGTTGGTCGACAAACCACCGACACGCAACATATTCATCCGCTGACAAACTAAAATCGTATCGGCCCTCCTAAAGTTCCTTCGAACTATTTGACCAATTTCACTAATTTCAGCCAAAGTACGGAGACAATTATTTGTAGAATGACTAAAAGTATCGGAATTTTCTAAAAGCCCCTTCACGAATACGATGCTATTTATCCATCGATTTTGAAAAGGTGGCGTTCAACAAGTACATAACAGCCAAGACGGTCACCAATCAAAAACACTATTAGTTTGAGCTCAGTCAAATAAACTCGTTGACCTCTGAATTAAAGGAATGATCAGCACGATTACTCAGGGGATTAAAAAGATGCACATGCTCTGATCTCTTGACTCTACATACTATCTTCCCGAATTAATCTCTCTTGACGAGGTGATCTCATTTCCGTAGCGTCACAAGAAAAGGGTTTCTAAAAATCGCGGTTCAGTTTGAAGTTAGAAAAGAACAAATTGGAGTAACTTTGATAATCATATGAATAATGATACTAAACAACTGTACTCTAATTTCAGAATGGTAATAAGTTCACCATGGAAGGAGATCCTATTCACCTTAGTTTTGCATGTGATTCGTATAATTAAGGGGACTCTGATTCCCTTTCACTCTAATGTTTATCGCTCATCTTTGGTTTAGATAGATAGGTTTGCAAAAAAGTTCAAGAGCCTTTTTGATAACTTGCCAAAACAGTTTTTGAGTTACTGGAAGGAAAATATCTCTTTCTCCTGGCGTTTAGAAGGTTAACAGGTTTACATATAAAATGCTACTTTCATCATTATCACTGCAAAGTCCACAGCATTGGGGAAAACTAACTTAACGTTTTATAAACAAATTATTTCTCCCTCGGAATATGGTTTACCAGTTAACGACATTTTTCTGGATTCGCAAGAAAAAAATTCTTTGATGAAATGGGTGCTAAAGAAATAAAATAGAACACCATTTATGGTTTCCCTATTAAAAAATTCTCTCATTTCGTCGTATTCGCTTAGTCTCAGCCATTCATATCTGTCATTCCAAAGGATATACGAGAGCCTAGGTTCTTAAACCGCCTATTTTTCATGATACTATTTTCTATATTTTTCCATCTTCTATTTTACGATAACATTTTTACCAACGGGAGTCTGTCAGTCTATATTGAGTTAAATAAGAATTCGCTGCAAATGAATTTGCTAAACGCTTAGTTAAGGGCGTGGCTATTGCTAATTAGTATATACACACTCAGGGATCTTGGCGTTTCAAGCAATCTGATTGGTTCGCTATCTCGGGCTAATCACCTCCGAGCGAGTGGATAATGTGAAAAACAAAATGGCGGGCGTAAACTCGCGTTTCGCTAAAGTTTCAGAAGCAGAAATTGCCTTTAAATGGCTTCCTTTTAATTTTGTCGAGATCACTTCGTGTGTATATACTAAAACAATTATTCTTTTCAATCTCGGTGAATAGTGGCTTTCGGGAATATTTACCTCGCCGCTTCGCGGCTCGGTAAACATTTAGCCACTATTCACCTCGATTTCAAAGAATAATTGTTAATTATTACACGACTCGGGTAGTCAGAGGCCCAATAACTAAAATCAACCAATCAAAAGGCTTTATTGCCGGTCCAATATTCTCAAAGTATTGGACCGGGCACTGTCCCGAATGGTCACGAATGATACCGCAGTTGTATCCCTTTGAACTTCAGACGCATAATAATTCTCTTATTAACCAAGCTTGCTCGGGACCGTACTGAAAATTTATCGGCCCTCGGTCTTTTTTCGCTGCGCTCGGTCCGTACTGTCAAGACCTCGGGCCGATATTCTCCCAGTACGGCCCTCGCGCTTGGTTAATAAGATATATTTATTGCTATTGTTCACTTTATTTTACCCTGGGATTTACTTTACGCATCCAACCGTTTGATTGACAGCAACTGAAATCTACAAGAGACTCGTGTATTCCCAAAGCTCAATCTGCTGACCAATCACAGCATTTTGAATCAGCATTGATACTCCAAGGGGTTAAGGATCAAGTATAAACAATCCAGTGAACAGAGTACAATGAGGCATATACTTAAAATTACAGAATAGCCGTCAAGACAATTACATTTTTTTGTTTCAGATTTAAACTCAAATATAATAATGATAATGTTAATGTATCTTTGTTTTGTTTTGATTTTTTTTTTAGGTCCCGTGATACTTCCGATTTCTACAATTTTGATGAAGTATGGACTTCATTAATTTGTACCAGACTTGATCAATCAAGTAAAGAGCCTTGTGGATCAAAGACACTTGTTCTAAATGATCTCAAACTGTTTTCAAAATCCCGTTATTCTTACAGGAAAACGAATATTGCCGCAAACTGGGGTAGAGAGAGGTAACTTTTCGTCAGCGATGTCAATGAAGATCTATTCCCGAAACATCTCATACAATCCTCTTGTTAGGTGTTAATCGTTAAAACTTGTTCAGCGTATCGAAAACAAAAATGTAAGTGGAAGAGAGAGGAATAAACCAAATTTTGTTTTAAGTAAACCTTTACAGAGGAGGTAAGAATCGGTTAGAGTGATATCAAAACAATGAAAAATAAAAGAAGGACGTAGAAGGGTAAAAAAAAGAGGAGGTGCAGTGACTCAAGTGATTCTAACGAATAACCAAAACCTCTATGAACTAGCATTGTGACTTCTTTAAATACCTTCGGGACAATGAAACGTTAACCCCAAATAGAGATGCCTTTCCGATGAAGGTAACCTATACAAAGGTTAATGGGACGTTTTTCTATTCGGAACACTTTGTACCTTTAAATGGAGACGTTCCCTGAATTAGGACGTTTTACTGTAACCAAAGGACGCATTTCTCGGCTAGACAAAGATACGGATAGAACTCTGTGTGGTGTAGTCTCAATTTGGCAATATCGAAGTAAATCATTGTAATAACTGGTGTTACTAACATTTCTAACAAAAACGAAAGGGTTACTTCTTTTATTCACATAGCATCTTTGCCAGCCAAACCCAAGTTATCTCAGAGCCCTTTATCTTTAACTAATGCAATCTGAAAATGATATCTTTTTTTCGAAAATGATATCTTTGTTTTGAAAATCTAAATTTGTAAGACTTTGAATACGAAAAAACCTAGCTATAACTAACAACTTTGAACAAAGCACTTGTCTATCTTTGCAGTGCAGAAATACGAAAGTTCTTCTCCATAACTTAATCACAAATCAGTTTTAAGGTTAAGAAAATTGACGCACCCCATCGATTTTGAAAACTGTGTCAGACCTCATGCTCAGTGGAATTATGTAACTCTAGGATGCTTGTTACTTTCATGGAAAAACGGGAAGTTTTGGATCTTTCCCTCCTACTTAACCGTGAAGTTAAGTTAATCTTAGAAATATAAGTAATTTCCTACTGATCGTTGCCCTGGAAATCATGAGTATCTGATATCTAACAGCTACGAACTAACCGCAGTATTCAAACACGTTTGTAATTATCGAGTGAAAGAAAACGTTTGGTATTTTTATGAAATTTTTGCTTTATTTTTAGTTTTTTGTTCTAATGGAATATGTTAATTGCCACCAATTGCAATTGTACGTTTATCAATTTGACTTTTTGTTCTTGTAATATCAGCCGCATGGTCTTATCTTCCTCAAGATATTCTTACACCCTTTAAATGAAATAGTAATCGCTCCGAAATGGTTACCAGAAGAAATTTCAACTTAAAAAAGAATTATTTTGAATCTTGGGTTCTACCTTAAGAAAAGAAACTATTATTTTTCTTTAAGGTGGCTACAAACACGTATCCGAATGAATGATCAACGAAAATCTAAACATTTTCGGCGAAATTAATGTATAGTTTCGATCATGAGAAAAGTTTAAGAAACCCCGCCATGGGGGGTTACCGTCACTGTATTTCTACTTCATTACTAAAGAAAGTTTCCAAACACGGAAATTAGTGGTTGATTTAGATAGTCGCATTTAAAGTCAACATTATTATCACAAACTGATACAGCCGATCAAAACTTCCGAAACAGGCAACCATGTATGTAAACTTCAGTTCTCAGAAGTGTTAATATTCTAGTATCCTGTTATCCGCTCTACGTTGCCTTTAGAAAGTGCATAGTAAAAGTTTTTCACGCGATGGCATTGCCGCGTCGAGTATAAAAGATTCCAAAGGACCTGCGGCTCGTCAATACAGATCAAATCTAATTTCTCTGTACTCAACTGAAAATTACCGTTGAACTGGGTCAGTTTTTAAAAACAAAATCAAGCTTTTATAAACCAATCGCTGGATGCCATGATTTCAAATGTATCCATTTTGACCATAACAAAGGCTGTTTAAAAATAATGAGAAAAGTTCGGAGCAAGAAAAACATCGATATAACTTTTCCCTTATTCCTTAGGATTGCAATCATTTATACGCATAAAGCGTTCAAAATAAAAAAAATTCTGGCAAACTTTAATCTGAGTTTTTTCTTTTCTTTTTTTTTCCTTTTTTTTTGGGGGGGGGGGGGACATTTTTCTAACGATTTTAAAATTTCCGGTGCATTTGAGATGAGTCTTTTTGTTCTTTACTTAATTAAGGGAAGGTGTTTAGTGCTTCTCAGAAAGTGGGAGACTCAATAAATTTGTAATATCGGCCTATTTACACAGTCAACTTAATAACTGCCAATGAATGTCATATGCACTGCTAAAAGCAACAAACCTCCCATTACGTTTTAAATTTTTGATAACTTTCAAAACCGTTTTTGCATCTTAAACAGTTAACTAGGAAAATCGTCTCCTCGGTTTTCTTTGTCTTTTCAACTGTAATTTTATTTTTCCTTGCACTATTCTTGGGTAGTCACCCTATAGAAATGAGATTTTACACTATTGTAATGTTCCACATTCTAGCAACGCAAAACGATCAATTCATATTAACAAAAACTCTGGATGGGTATGGGATTCATTAACCATTCACGGAAAACATCGGTGGTTGTTAAGATAGAAAAAGCAATAAGTAAACCTCGTATTTATGTTGTTTAGGCTCAAAAAACTCTTTTCACCGAGTAAAGATGATGTAGCCGTATAGTTTGAACTTCGTCTAACTTTGGAGGATCGCACTTTTGGGCGGAGTTCATTTTAGCTCGATTTCATAGAATCAGCCATGCGACTTTTCAAGGTAATAGAGATAGCCTGGTTTTTCTCTTAGTTAACTCCCTATTTAGAGACTTGGGAAAAATCGTAATTCTCCACTAACCTCCTAACCTGAGATGACCCTCCATGACCTGGAAATACCAGTTTTTAAATCGCAAGTTCTCCCGTTAAAATCCTGCCTTCGGTAATGATGGCCTGATGTAAAAAACCAACCCATATCAGCTACGGGCAATCGTCCTGAATCAAAGATTCACTTTTCTGTCGTAATGTCCTATAAAAAAAAAGCGCCCCTCCTGATGACCATGAAAAAATGAGCGACATGTTCCATATATTTGTCCTTAATTTGGACTGAGGTGTTCGAACTTTTTTTTCGCAGCGAATGGATTTCGCCTTCTGGTCGTGCGGGTGGTTATGGAGGGAAGTAGGCAAAACATTATTAAAAATTTGTGAGTAATGGCTTTTTGTGAGCCTCTGCGAGTATAAAAAATTAACGCGTGCTGTCTAGTTTTAAGGCAGACAAACACACCTGTATAAATTGTGAATGAAATTCGACTCCAGTGTCTATCAGTTTTTTCAAACAAAAAAACTTGAAAGCAAACGAACACTAAGTCAGATTTTTTTTAAAAGTGCGCTCAGATCATGAAACCGCAAAAACAAGTTTTGTCTCTGGTCTGGTTTTGGTGCATTTTGGTCATCTTTGATCTCTGTTTCGCAACGGGCTGTATAATTGTGTACTCAAAGTGAAAAGTTTAGAATCATTTGCTCATAATAAATGATTAAAGGCACCTGTTGTATAAGAAATTGTGAATAAATTTGGAAGGATACTAATGACAAGGGAATGAACTTTGCTTAGTGGAACTAAACCCGATTTGACTTTTTTCTGCCCACGTTTAGAATAAGCTTAACAGGTGCATTAATGGTAACTTCGATTTCGTGGCTTCCCATAGCCGGTTCATGTTGTTCCAATTTTTTAGCCGCAATGTATTATTGCTTATTAAATAATAATGATTTACAATTCTTCGTTCTGCCGTGCTTAAGAATTATCTTCAATTTGAGAGATTTCAGACCGACTGTACGAGCTTTTAAGTTGTTGAAATCGCCTAGTCAATCTTGGTCAAACTTCGTTTCAATCTTTCCAAAGATCTCCAAGTTTTAACAGCGCGAAAATCAAATCAAACATAGACATACCTGTTTATTTTTTTTCACGTTTTCATTGTTTGTCTACGAGACTGTAGCAAGATACGAATGAAGATTCATCGAAATATAATTACGCACTTCCCGTCCGAGTTTTCGCCGCTGAATGAATCTCTTAGTATTTAAAAAGAAAACCTTTTTCCTCTTTTTAACAAAAGATAATATTTTCCTCTGGAAGATTACGCGATTTACACTACACAATTAGTTTACGAGAAACTTTTCTCTGTGCTATTATCGAGTCGATTTTGGGCTTATAAGTATTCGAACTTTTTGACTTGTCAAAAAATCATATAAGCCTTACGATAAGCCATTAAGTCGTCCCAAATAATGAAAAATCCACATAAAATGAATCCCAAGGTAAAAAATTCCGAAGGTTCCGTATTCTCGCTCAAAAAGCGAAACAGGTTTGACAGAGATACATAAATTAACCATTTCTGCGTATCCTTCCAATGTGTTAAGAAATAATGACGCTTCATCCCATCACAGTAAAACATTTTTCAATCGTCATAATACAATTACATATACAGTCGCGTCCAGTCAGGTTAGCATGCAGTGTCGACGTATTAACAACACTCTACATTACTCAACTGGCGGATAGGAAATTGTAGTGCCTTTCTGTATTTTTCTTTTTTTTTGGTAAAATAATCAAGTCAAAAGCATATAGCTTCTTATACACTTGTGATAATGTGCAAACACTAGATATGCTACAACTGGATCCGTTTTCATTATAAGAAGTACCAGCTTTTTTTTTTCCAGCAAATTTAGTTTGAGAGAAACTTTTCTCTTGGCTATTTTCAAGTCGATATTGGGCTTATAATTATTCGAACTTTTCGACTTGTCAAAAAATCATTTAAACCTTACGGTAAGCCTTTAAGCCATCCCAAATATGGCCTCTTATATGCTTGTAATAATGTCCAAACACTAAATATGCTACAACTGCATCCGTTTTCATCCTAAGAAGTACCACCTTTTTGTTTTTCTTTTTTCAGTAAATTTAGTTCGCGAGAAACTTTTCTCTGGGCTATTTTCGAGTAAATATTTTAACGGTCGCAAGGGATGTATCTGGAGGAGTATGCCACGAGCTCTCTCCTAGAAACATGCCTGTACAGTTTTGAAGACATAGTTCTCATGGTCTCTCTGCGATTAAAATGGAGAGTTCCAAGGGAGGTAACTTGTTTAAAACTAAATATTTTTAAACCTCAGCATCTGAATCTAAATTTTTGTTTTTCGACGCTATTTAGTCTAAATGAATTTAGTGTTTACTCATAAAGTGTAGTGAGGAAGCAAATGATCACGAGGAAAGATAGACGTACTTACGATTAGGTAATTTTGATTTTATCAACTGAGTTGATAGTGTGAATTGGCCACCGTAAGGGGGTTTCAAAGCTGACGTTTTGGGCGTTAGTCCTTCGTCAGAGCAAATGGCTAAGGGTGAATAGCAAAGGACTAATGCTCTAAACTTCAGCTTTAAAACTTTTTACTGCGGCCAATTTACATTATAACTGAAACTCAGTTGATAAAACTAAAATTACCTTTTTATACTCCCTCACGGACGCACTACTACAGATTCTTTGAAAACTTAACCCCTTTCTTTACTCACGATTTCCTTCGGCCAAAGAAACTGTTTGGCTATTCTTCTAGACTAGAATAAAAACAAAAATAATAATATTAATGATAGTGATGACTTTATTGCAGTATTTCTACTGTAAGTTGACTCATCGTCTGAGAAATTAACATTAATATTTAAAAATATTTAAAATAGTGATAATAGTGATATTAATTAAAGGCTGTAGTTCTGTACAATGTTAAAGAATTACTTGGAGCTGTCTGTTTTCATGAGTCTTATCTAAAAGTTACTTTGACTTATAAAACAATGAAATGTTGATCCTTACGTAGGAATCGAAAAATACGGCAATGCTTGTATAGTTTTTCTCCTAGTCAATTCGGGTTTGAGTTTGACAATAACTTCATTAGACTTTGAGAAATAATAATAATAATAATAATGATAATAATAATAATAATGATAATAATAATAATAATAATAATAATAATAACTTTATTTCTCCTGGTAAAAAAAAAAAAAAACGGTCAGTCAGTCAACAAAAGGTTGATGGACTGGCATTAATCGGTGACCAGCAATATAAGAATATATGAGAATGTTAACATGACAGGGTTGTGGCCGCCCTGAGACAACTAAATCCTCGCAAAGCGGCCGGACCCGACTGAATTCCCAATTGGCATTTGCTTGAGTACGCTGGGGTTCTTGTCGAGCCCGTAACAGCCATTGTCAACTCTAGCTATGGAGAGCAAAGACTGCCTTCACTTTAGAAGCTAGCTGACGTCGTTCCGCTCCCCAAGTAGAAGCCTTTAGAAGACCTTAGCAAGCAGCTGCGCCCCATCTCCCTGACACCCGCTATCTCGAAACTCGCGGAAGATTTTGTTGTATCGACCCATGTTGGCCCCGCTGTATTGCAGATCATTGACCGTGATCAGTACGGTGCTATCCCTAAATCCTCTACCCTGTTCGCTCTGATCTCGATGTTTCACCACTGGTCACAAGCTACAAACGGTACCGGTGCAGCCGTTAGAGTCGTGTTATTTGACTATAGCAAGGCCTTTGATCTTATCGATCATATGATACTTGTCGCTAAGATCATCGGGCTCGACATACCGCACAGCATCAAAGCCTGGGTGACTGACTTTTTGACGAATCGACACCAACGCGTCAAGTTGTCCTCTGACTGTTTCTCTGAGTGGGGTCCAGTCCCCGCCGGAGTTCCTCAGGGGACCAAGCTCGGCTCCTGGCTTTTCTTGCTCATGATCAATGATCTCCAGGTTCTCGCTCCCACGTGGAAGTATGTTGACGATACGACAATCTCCCAAACCATACCCCGCGGCTCCCTGGGTGACGTGCAACACGCTGTTACCGCCGTGGAGGAATGGTCTTGTTCTCAGCGGATGCAAGTCAATGCCAACAACTGCAAGGAGATGATTATTGACTTCAAGAAGAACCCGCATAACTTCTCCCCTCTCGAGGTAGATGGTCACGAGCTTCCTGTCACCGACCGCGCGAAGATATTAGGTGTTACGATATCCAGTGACTTGAAATGGAACAATCATATTGTAGATTGCATTAAGAAAGCAAATAAGCGCCTGTATTTTATTGTTCTCTTGAATAGGGCCCGTTTTCCCCTTAAGGACATTGTGAACTTCTTTTGTACAACAATTAGACCTATACTAGAATATTGCGCTCCAGTGTTCCATCATGCGCTCCCGGCTTATCTTAATGAGGATATAGAAAGAGTTTAGAAACGTATGCTTTCCATAATTTCACCTGAAATGTCATATCGGGAATGCCTTGACAGTCTAGGCCTGCCAACTTTGTATGATAGAGGCATAGAACTCTGTTGTCATTTGTTCGATTCCATTGCTAACAATCCCGGACATAAGTTGTACCATCTTCTGCCATCAAGGAAAAAATCTAGTTATAATTTAAGGCGTCAAGAGATATATAATTTGCCACGTTCTCGCACGGAACGTTTTCGACGCTCTTTCTTTTATGCTACGTCCCAGGGTGCGCTCAATAGCTCCTAAAGTTTCAAAGAAAGTCGACTTTAATTTTAGACATTCACACATATTCTAGATTTCTTATATTAGGCATTTACATTTATATGATTGTATTTAGCTCTATATTTTAACCACTGTTATCTGTAAAATACGCACTCAATTCAGTTTTACGACTGCAAAGTATTATTCAATAAACGATCTATCTATCTATCTATCTATCTATCTATGAAAAAACAGCAGTTCAACAATAATGAAAGAAACTCTAACAAAGAACTAAGCATTGATCTTACAAATGTCATTGGCCTTATCCGTATTCATTAAGTAGGTAAAAGTTCTGACCTTAAACTGTGCAAGAGATTTCAGCTCACGTATCTCTCTTGGCAATTTGTTCCAGACACTCGCAGGCGAGAACTTAAAAGAAGTCTGACCACATTTGGTCTTAACATGTGGTAGATCTAATAATGTAGAGTCTCTAAGGGATCGACCATGTCTTTGAGATCGTTTTACCAAATAGCCTGTCAGTTGCTTGGGGCAGTTTATATTATTAATAATCTTGTATACATACTGTAACTTGATAAAAAGGTGTCTACCATAAAGTGATAACAAAAACAATTTAATGCGCATCTTTTGAGTACGTGTCTTCCGGTCAGTATGTAATATTATTCGCATTTCCCGATTTTGAAGGCGTTCTAAGCATTGGGCGTTCTCCTTGCTGCATTCACCCCATATGACGCATCCATAATCTAGTATGGGTAGCATAGTCTGTTTTGTAAATTCTAAGTAAAATATCGCGACTAAGAAAAGACGGTATTCTGTTCAGCAATTTCAATTTGGGGTAACCCTTGATTGTATATATAGGTTACATGTTTGCTACATGTCAGACAATGGTCGATGTAAATTCCTAAGTACTTAAAGTAATCTAATTGTTTCATTGGTTTGCCGTCGAGGATAATCTGTAACAGTCGGGTGTTTTTAACAGCATACTTGGATCCAATCAAGATTGCCTTGCATTTCTTGCGATTACTGATTAACCCGTTCTGATTCCACCAGGAGACAATATTAGCTAAGTCTTTGTTGACACGATTTTCCGCAACACTGATGTCTTTCGCGCTGGCGTGGATATTCGTGTCGTCAGCGTAAAAGTACCGCTTCGCTATCCGTGGAAATGTCAGTGATGCCTTTGATCATTACATGTTAAAAAGACGCACATAAATTGATAAACCATTTTTATTATTATTAAATATTATAAATTATAATTATCATGAAATTTAAAGTGGTGGTTGGAAATAGACGGACCATCCTGTTGTGGGTCAACTGGGCTGCCATGGGATTGCTGAATGGCTAACAACGAGGAAGCTATTGTTGTAAAATACTCGTTCAGCGAATTTACAATATCATGTTTGTCGATTAGCTCTTTATCGTCGACTATTATCTTATCGATCTCAATGCGGTTGCTCTTATTCTTGGAGGGCAAGACAAGACGTAGAGTATCCCAGAAGGCTTTGGGCTTGCCTCGGTTTTCTTCAGAAAGGAAAAAGTGAGTTGAATTTTTAACAAAGTATTTCGTGCACAACCGAACAAAATGGATTCAAATTTTCAGTTATAAAATGTGACTTTAGAAGCGGTGTCTAAACAGGCCCTCGGAAATTAGGATTTAGTAAAAACTGCGGCCGTTAATTTCCTCACGTTAAAAGAATCAAAAACAAGTAAATAAGACCAATAAAAAAGGACCCGCCATTAACACTTCCGTTAGGTTGTAACTTATTTATTTGTGGAAGGTGAGGAGGACAGCACAAAGATAAAGTGCTTTCCATTCGGAAAAATAAGTCGCCAAACTGCGAACAACTGAAGACAAATATTCAATGTAAGGTAAAAAAAGCGCGAAATGGTCTGGGGAATGTGTTCGCCCGCGTCCTCTGACCTTGGTCCCAGGACCCCAAAGTGCAGTGATGCTCGTCAACGGTTATCAGAAGGGGTGTTTCCAAGCTTTTATAATCTGACTGAATAGGAGGGTGATAGCCGATTGATTTCTTGTTTCACACGTAAGTATGTGACAAATCAACTTTCCAGGGATGTTAAAAAATGCTCAATGGTGCGTTCGGTCTGTTAGTTACCACCTCGAGTAAACATTTTCCCGTCCGGCCTGACCTAACTCAGTCATTAACTACATAGTATCATAGTTAACCAGATTGTCACAGAACTATCCACTCTATGGCTTACATGAATTACTGTTTGTTATCTTTGCTGAGTCCTGTTGAAGCAGCGGACGGATGACCCAAAAATTGGAAAGAAATATAATTGGCCACTTTACTTTCTTAACATTGAAGATTAAGAAAGTTCCAGTGTTATTTCGAGAGGTTAACTTTAAATATACTTCATATGAGTAATAACTTTCGATCGTGTCGTTGTGAGGTTTTGGTGTCGGACAGGTCGTAAAGAAACCTTAAGAAACTTAGGACCATCTCTAGGAATGTTCAGAAACTACTCAGGAGATTTACGGACGCGTTCTCTACGCCAACGATAGCACTCTTGAGTCCATACATATGGTTTCGAGTATCCGAGACAACCCTCATCCCGAGTTACCCCGGCGAGCTAACTCAATTCAGCCGACCGTTTACAAGAGGTTGTGAACTTGTATCGGGTGGGCGAGACAACTCGGGAGGAGGGGGGGGGGCGAGTTGTCTCACCTCGGCAGGTAGGGTAATCCTGGAAGGCGGGACAACATTTTCTCATGTAACTACATTATTTCGCCCACCCGAGGCGAGACAACTCAAACGTAAAATGCGCGCGCACGCTATAACCAGAGCCCGTGCGTTTTACAGTTATTCTTTTCCTGACACCCGCCACCTTGTCAAATTTATGATCTGACCTGGCCGAACGAGGGTTAGCAGATGTCGAATTTCATGTAAACGCTTCGTTAAGTTGTCTCGGGTACCGAAAACGAAATCAGTGCGGCCTCAGGATAAACAAGTGTACTGTTAGGTCATTGTGAAAGGAAGAATGCTGGTCAATCACTGGTCGCCCTTTATTTGGGAGGTGCAAAACACATACCGTAGTAATTCGGTTATAAGACGCACCCCAAACTTGGGAACTTGGCTTGGCAACTTAGCCAAGCCAAGTTCCCAAATGGAAAGTTTTGTGAAAATACTCGGTTATAAGACGCACCAAAAGGTTGAGAGTTAACAAAAGGTGTGATGGATCTGAAAAAGTTTCACGGTTGCTCTGGCGGTGAAAGCAAATGACGAAAAACTCCCAGTTCGACAGCTGAATATCAAAACGCCACAGAGTTAATGACCAACAATTAGTGTTTTTTTTCACGTCTTTGTAACTGTAAGTTCTGCTACAATTGTGATCTTAAGATTTTGTTGCGCGAAAATACTCGGTTATAAGACGCACCCCAAGTTTTGAGCAGATTTTGATCAAACAAACATATTTTCTCGTAAGAAGTGGTGTGCCTTATAAGTGAATAAATACGGTATAATGAGAAAAGACGCGGAAATGAAAAGTGAGTAACGTTTGCAGAGGGGTAGGGAAAAGTTAGAATGGCCCTTCATTCTAAAGGTATGAATAATGGACAAGTGGTGTGAAAAGATGTTGGTTGGTAAGTTATGTAAACTTCATGCTATCCATGGGAAGACATAAGGTTAACCTCTTTACGAACATGTCGGAAAGAACCAATACGCTGAAATTCTTTCTTGTTTAATGACCTACGTCAATGAAGTTACAAAAATACCTATTTAACGATTGCTTTGGACATTACGCATTCTTACTGCATGACCTAATGAACGTACAATTCTAATTAGACAATAGGAATTTTGGAACTCTCTTAAAAAAAAAAAATTCATCAATAGATGGGAGAGAAAATCAACATATTCTTCAATAACACTTAGGTCGTCAGAATCTCAAACTTTCTGCTGAATCTCAAGTGTGATTTAGATACTTGGCTTCAGCACAGAATCATTTTAAGCTTAGCATAATTTGGCAGAAACTTCCAGAGAAGCATTCATTTCATTGAACAAAAAAGGCTTACTAAGGAGAGGGGGGGGGAAGGGAGGGGGAATAAGGAAAGGCAAGCGAGGGAAAGCCGGATTGTAGCCCACTGGTCTAAATTCATTGACACCCTGCAGCCCTTCTATGCAAATTAAGTATTGATTAATATTGCTATGAACAAATTTGTAAAATTAAGTACAAGATATAAGGTTTAAAAAATTACTCCATAAATTTCTCCAAAATTTCATCAAGAGCAATTTTGAGTACAAGTCAGACTTGGTAAATATTCAGTATAAAATTTCAAGAAAAGTATCCGTTCTTACATTCTATCACCATTTGAGGCGTTCTACACATATTATCTAAAACCTAAAATAAAGTACCATACCATTTTTAGAAGGGTTTTGGTATTTTTATGGTGTTAGTGAACAAGAAACCTTTTTTCTGAATTTACGACACATATTATGAGGAATTATCCACGCAGCTCCTGAGCCTTAGAAGGGCACGAAACAAATTTGATCTTGTCATGCCATAATTCTTAGCTACCATAACTTTGCTGCTGCTGCTGCAAGGTCAAGAAAAAATCTGAACAAAACTTCGCACAGTAACTATTACAATCATTCATATTGCCTCAAAAAATTCGAAATTTCTCTGACATACAATTCCTATGTAAGGGTTTTTTTTTTTAACTGGATATAGTTTGTGTGTAATCTGGTCAATATATAAAAATAATCAACTACAAAATGTAGCATGAACCTACAATATTTGAACTCTCTAAAATTCAATCTGGCTGTTTTTATCACAGCTCGATACTAGTGTATTTCCACTGACTTGTAATGTTGAAGGTCAAGTGGGCACAGAAATGATTGTAATTGTCACGAAATTGGTAAAGGTAAAGAATCCGATCCTACCAACGTGTCGGCCTACGTGTCAGCCGACAGTCAACCAACACAACACTCAAATGACTTCTTATTAAGACTGACATAATTATCCTTCTTTAAAACGATGCTGTCTGGTTAAACCTGATAAAAAAAATAACTTAATAGTCACCTTGTCAAAAATTAACCACTAACAAAACTTACTAACTTAATCTTCTAGTGTTCATAGATGAACTGAGACTACTCCTTAAATCATTAATATAATGTACTGGAAAACAATAAAATGCAACTTGTGTATTTGCATTCGATAAATTATTGTAATCTGAATGAAAATACCTTGTTCCCTAGGGGGGTATCATTAAGTGAGTTTAAATAAGAAGTTGACCGCTGCGTGTATTTGTTCAAAATGCAACTGACCTGAGTTTTTGCTGAGGATTTTTAAAACAGTTATGGCAGTACAATTTAGAGCTCAATCATTTTGGTAGCTTGATGAGTTGCAATAGTTTCAGTATCCGAGCAACATTGCAACCCAACAACAACAGTCACCTGATAACAAGCTGGGATTGAGGTTAGGTAAGGGGAGGGCTGGGTGCAATGTTGCTCAGACACTGACATAGATATTCTGTTAAAACACTTTACTTTTTACAGCAGTGTAAGGCTACATTCGATTAGTTTGTATATACTGACACAGATGCAATACGTTTATATGATTTTTGTTTTTCTTAGGGTTGGGTAAAATTAAGGTTGAAACGAAAGTACATTTACTAAATAAGATATTTGAAAAACACTTCTTTGATGAGTATGTCACCACATCATACTAAAAGTACTCTAGACTAACTTTCCCACTAAGGGTTCAGATAACTGGAAAAATTTTCAATCTTTTTCTGCTAATAAATAACCATCAGGTGTCATAATCTTTTGATTTCCTGCATGTCAACAGAGTTGCATATGTGGGAATAAACTAAGGCTAATTTGCATAAAAACAAATCAGTTTGGATGTTGTTAAGTTACCAAATCATAACATATGATAAAAAAGGCTGTTCTGTTTTCTCTTCTTACACAAACACGATTAACTAAATTTTAAAGATCTACTGTCAAATGGGTAATATCAAAATAACACTTTTGCAACAGTCGGTTGCTTGGCAAATGGTGAACTTCCCACTGGGTTGCAGAAAAAGAAAAATCATGTTCCATTTAGCCAGATACATATCAAACCACAAATTTCACTTAGGGTTTAGGACCATTTGAAAATATGGGGAATTCAGTTTTTTTCTGCTAAGGAGAAGTGATTTTCCTCCATTGAAATGTTCACTTACTGCATTCTACAAACCAAAAGATTAGGTTATGTGATACACTGTCGCAAAAAGCCTTTTTATACAACCTCAGGAGAACATTATTTTTATGAAATAACATGTTGTGGCTCTTGAGGTTCAAAATAGTTCAGAGAGAAGAGCTTGAACAGTTAGATTGTTTAGGTTGTTTGTTGTTATACTGAGAAAAAAATCTAACACCCACAAAAAGAAACCCTGAAAAACACTGAGGAGGATCAGCTTATTCAAGATAGTGATCTTCACTGATTGACTAATTGTTAATTTTGAAATTAGTTTTTCTCTCTAGGTCTATTTCATTTCAATATTGTATGTGCTCATCTAAAAAAAATTACACATCATCTTTGCAAATAAAAACCAATTGATCCTTCGTAGCAGCACTATTAATCTATGACTTCTTTCAATAATTTATTAAGTAAATAATATATATATAACATTTAATAAAAGCATTCTTAACAATAACTTAAAGTTATGGAAAAGCTCCTCTCACCTGGTATGAAAAACTCACATTTGTGCATTTGCATATTATGAAAAAGAATTAAAAAAATTGAAGTGGTGATGCATCAACTAACTTTTCTCCTCTTTTTCTTCCTCTTCAGCATCTGGGAACTCATCAGAATCAAGTCTTGGCTTCTTGGCAGTGTTTTCATCTTCATTGTCTACCTCAATTTCTGACTTTATTTTAGCCAGTGAAAATGTATGGAAGCAAGGGGACCCACTCTCTGTAAGTTCAGGATCTCTATTGAATGCTGGTGGGGGAGAGGAATTTTCCTGTGACACTGAATTGCTAGGTGAATCCTCACCAGGTGCTGAAGTAAACAAATCAAAATCCAGTGATTTTGCATCAATTGATTTTCTTTTTCCTCCTTCGGAGCTGGTAGGTGAACAAGATCCAAGATCTCGCAAAAGTTTACTTGGCTCCAGTGAATCCCTTTGCCTTGCTCTCCGCTCACTCATCATCATCAGTCTTCGTCTTGCTGTGAACATATTGAGGTTTTCTTCCAATGCAGGCTTCTCCTGTCGCCTACCAGAAGGGTCCCCAAGTAACAAAAGTTCACCTCGCGATGGAGGTCGATCAAGAGCTTCTCCTTCCACCGGCTCAAGAACGTTTAGTGAACTTGTAAGAGGCCCAGGAGGAATATCAAGGTCTTGACCATACAAGCTGACTTCAGAGCTTCGTCTGGAGCTCAGACCTGATTCCCTTTCTTCTCCTCCATATGAAGTAGTATTCTCTAGGGAGAACCTTTCACTACTCACTGGTGCAAGGACAGGGGAGTGACCATTAGGGGTAACATTCTCATTATCATTTGCAGTTGAAATCTTTTTCTTAAGACTACCATCAACTGGAAGACTTGCATCTTCAGGTGGACTGGGGTTTTCAACATCAATAACATCTGAATTTTTACCCTTCTCTGATGGATCTCTATCATCTGTGAGACTTGTTATTGTACAAGAAGATGGTACAGGGCTAGTTCTGAGATGTGCCCTTTTAGGTTTGGAGGAGGATGGCCCTGTGGATGACTCCAGCTTGTTTGTTAAATCCTCTACATAGGTGTCACTTCTTCGAAGTGCCCTTCTGAGTTGTTGAACCTCACGCTCATATTGACCCACCTTTGTCTGAAGACCAGCCATTGTGTAATGACTATACCTTAAGTGGAAAGAACAACAAACATACATTACTAAAGAACTTCCTATCAAGCATACATGGTATACTTGATCTCCTTCCTCTGCTTGTTTGTTTTTATTGTCATTTCTCCAATTCTCAGAGACATGTGACCAGCCACAACCAGGGCCCTTTCTAAAGGGAGGAAGAAAGAGGACCTGGAAACAAGGTTGGTTAAAGGTCAGTTCATCATTCTGTTGAATGGGGTCACCTAGGTATCATATTTTGGACCTTGCTTGCTCCAAAAGTTTAGCCGCTCTATTGAGCATTAAACTATTATCTAAACCTATTAAGAGATGCCACAAGGAAATCATTTTGAGAAGTCTATCAATTGTAATGTTACAGCAAGAACTGAAAAAATTATATTTTCTGATCTACAGGGCTTAATTCCCTGATTCAAACAGCAACATGCTTCTCCCTCACAGAAATTATTTTCCTCTAAGTTTTCGTGGTATGTTGATCACTCCTTTTATGATATTTCTGCAAGAAAGAGCTGTTTTTTTTTTTACACACTATCCTGAAATGATTGAGGTGTTTATTGTCTTTTGTAGTATTTCGAAACAAACTTGAGCGACACCGGGAAACACCAAATCAAAAATTGGTTCAAGATTGGAATTCTATTGTACCATCACTCACTCAGTTTGATGATATATGTGACTTCCCCTCCTATAGGAGGCAGTAGCCACAAAATTAAATCTTCTTATCTATTATGCATAATTTGCTGATTTAAATGGTAAAATGCTCTTTCTTCAAGGAAAAAATATTCCATTTTGCAGGGACTTTGTTTTTCAGCATGTGTCAAATGATTGTGTTAAGTTTTTTATCTTGTGTCATGGCAAGAACTGAAAAATTATATCTTTCACTGTATAGGACACAAGTTGTTGATTCAAATGGTAACCACTGAGAAAACAATATCTTGGGTTTTCTTAGGCACAAAATAAATTTGTGTCCAATGCATTTCTCTTTCTTTAGTGCATGCTGCAACCAAACATCTTTAACTACAAAGGTACTCTATAATGAACAATAAGTGATACCAGGTCAATGTTGGGTGAAGTTTGGCTTCTACTGTTTCTTACCATCACTCATTTCGATAACATTGGTGGCTTCACCTCCTATGAGGAGCCAGTAGCCACAAAAATTATTTGCCAAAGTGGAGGTCAATAGTGGTGGATATTTGCCAAGCTGCCAAGCAGTGAGGCAAATACCCACCAGTTAAACTGACACTGAGGTAAATAATTGTCGTAGTATTTATCCCACAAAAACTAAAATTTAATGTTATTTCTGTCAGTATACCGAAGAATGGTTGGGAATTAAATTGTTAAAGTGCAATTTTGTCTCTTCACATATGCTAGGATGTGAATAGCAATCCTTTCAATAAGATTTGAAGTAGGTTTTTGACTCTATAAAGTACCCACTGGTGAATAATATGAAAAGCAATTTTCCTCTTGTTAGGCCATTAGTTCCATTCAGAACAAACTGGCTTCAAATGGAGTGTTGAAATGGCATTAAACTTTGGAAAATGATCATTTAATACAAGTCTCCCTTGTAACAGTTGTTCAACTGATCTTTGCTTCTAATCAAAATCTTCCATTTGCTACCATGCAAATCTACTGCCTGAGTTTCACTTAGAGGTCCTCTGAAAGGACATATGGTTACTGGTTACCAACATTTGATTCCAAATGTTCTTGGAAACTCAAAATCGTTTTTTGCTGGAAATGTCATATACAATAAGATAATACGACAAGATTGATAATCTTTCTCAAAACTTGTTTATAAAGGTTAAAGTTGACTGAGAGAACTCAGTCAACAAAAATAATACCAGATAATATCCTGTGAGTATCAATTTTCTGTATGCACATGTGTTCTCAAATTCAAATGCTTCAATCTAAACCTTTCCTTTCCTGGCTAAGCCAGATTCTATTGTTTTCCATTTGTACATCCTTTTTGACTCACAGCTGCTTAAAGTATTTGCATTGTTATGCCATAATCTTTATTAACAGAGTTTTCTTCCTCTTACAAACCTCCCAGTCTCCTGCCTCAAACTCAGAGCTCATTTATTGTGATCCAAGTATTCTTGTTTTTCTTTTTGAACGGGTGGAATTAAAGATTTCATGAGTTTTATTCATCAGAAGATAGTTTCCAGAAGTGTGCCATAATGCATTCTGCTAATAATGTTTACATAAGATAATTGAGTTAAATCAATCAGCCAATGAATTCTAACTGTTCCCACAATTCGTGTTTCACATCAGATCCTTTGAAGCCAATTGCTTCATTAAAAGTCAGTTATTTACATAACAACATGGCACCCTCTGCTTTTCCCATCAAATGCACTTTTTTTCAAAATAAAGCTTAAACTCTATATGTTCAATGGCTGTTTTCCTTTATTTCTTTGTAGTTAAGCCTTGGTTAAGTCTTTTCATGCAAATTTTAACATCTTAGAAAAAAAAAATTCAAATTTGTTTTATGAGTGCTCATGAAAGGTACGCTCTTTCAATTTGTGAACTTATTATTGTCCTAAGAGCATGTTTGTTAGCATGGAGGAAAACCTTAACAACCTTTATTTCCTTCAATAAGCACTCATGCTCTAATTAACAATTATTCCATGAGCGCGCGTTGGATATGAGATGATAGATAGCCAATGAGGCGCGTAGCGCCTCGTTGGCTATAATCATCTCATATCCAACAAGCGCAAGTGGAATAATTGTTTTATTAAAAAAATGCCCCCAACATATTAGACAAATCTTCTCTACTTTATTTTGTAAGAAGAAACTGGATGTTACAATGTACAGATATTAGATTATGGTATATTGGCTCATATACCATAATGGCTAAGCCAATAAAAAGTCTTGAATTGCATTATCCAATGATCCAGATTTTAATAATGAGTATTAGTGCCCACGCTCTAATAAACACCCTCCCCAAATAAGCTCCCAACGCCTCCCCCTCCCAGGCCAAGATATTGAACAAGCACCCCTCCCTCTCCTTTATATACTTTATTTCCTTCAATAAGCACTCATGCTCTAATGAGTATTATTAAAAACTTGATCACTGGATAATGCAATTCAAGAATTTTTATTGGCTTAGCCATTATGGTATATCAGCCAATATAATGTTTTTAATAAAACAATTATTCCACTTGCGCTTGTTGGATATGAGATGATTATAGCCAACTCGGCGCGTTGGCTATCTATCATCTCATATCCAACGTGCGCTAGTGGAATAATTGTTAATTAGTGCCCATGCTCTAATAAACACCCTCCCCCAAATAAGCTCCCAACCCCTCCCACTCCCGGGCCAATATATTGAACAAGCACCCCTCCCTCTCCTTTCTCAATACGAGCATCCTTGATCAGCTGCTATGGAGTAGTTTATTTGGGTACGATGAATATATGAAGTTCGCATATTCATGAAGTAGTTTATTTCTTGCAATTTTTCTCTCTGGGGCAGGATTTAAGTCCTTGAATCTGATAACCTAACACTTCTTGAAGTATATGGAATTAGAAGCAAATATGTTACTTGGTGCAAAAGGACAATTTCTCTAATGTTATTATTCTTACTTTATGTCAAGTTTTTGACATAAAAAAGAACACCTGTTCTGTCTGCTGACCACAAAAGCTGTTTAAGGAATTTGGTTTGTTTATTAAGGTGCAGATAATGTGAAGCACTTTTCTTTGATCACAGAGGGAAAAATGAAATATATTGCCAGCATTTACCATCTGTTAGATTTTCCCTATTTTTTGGGTTCCCTGTTCTTGGTATTGTACACAAGGTCTTCTTTCAGATTAAAAACAGTTCTTACTGCCATCTTGATCCGGTTTACTGTGTTTCTGGCCTTTTATTCCGAATACACCACACCATCCAGTTCATAATTACACATAATCAGTTGTGCCCATGGAGATGTATTTCAAAACAAATTTTGGTCAAAAATGTTTTCAAACTTGCTTATTTTGTTCTAATTTATGCAGACAAATTAATTATCATAATTCATAAAAAAATTAAATTCACATCAACTTAGTTTTGATATTAAATTTCAACCCAAAATTGGATTTCCCTGCGATTCAGATATTTTATCAAACTAACTTCAGATCACATGAAAAAAAAACATTCTCAACTTTCAAATGATTAAGATAGAATTCTAACATTTAGTAAGCCTAGAACTACCAGAAGTGATCAACATGTAACTTCTCCCTATAAGACACACACTGTCCAGCAAACAGCTACCGACAGTACTTAAACTTATTAGGTAGAAGTTGTTACATCAATCTTACACCAAATTCTTGTGGCTAAATTACAAGGAAACGTGTAGCAGCCAGAGGGGAGAATTTACAATTTGATATTGGGAGTTAAAGCTTAAAAAAATAAAAAAAGTACAAAAAGCCAGAGGGGAGAATTTAACAATCGCATCTTGGGAGTTGAAGCATTAAATTAAAAACACAAAAAGTGGAAAACAAAGTTAATTTAATTAAAAGTTAATTTTGGTCTGTTTAATTTACTCATTTAGTACTTACCTCTGTGGAGACTTTGAAAATTTGGGTTCTTCTCTGAGACGTGAATTTTCCCTCACTAGATTCCTGTTTTCTTCTTGCAATTTCTTGTTATCCTGAGGTATGAAAAGTTGCAATTTCATGTTTAGTCATTTTTTCATGATCCACTCAACTTTGGTACATTAACCATTAATGATTATATATCATATTTACAAAATGTTTAAGGTGGTTTTGAAGAGAAGGTGATTAATTCTTAATTGATACTTTCTCTTCAAAATCATCCTTGAAATAAATAAAATAAATTTATCAGACCCCTTCATGTTTCTAGGACTGATTTTTAAAAATGTTGTTTTAACCCTTTAAACCACCCTTCATGACCAAGACACAATTTCTCTTTACAACATCAATACACAACCAAGCAGATAACTGATGAGAATAAAGGATCAATCATAAAAATATAGATTAAGCCAAAAGGAGACAGAGTCCTATGTTAAAAACTTGATTGAACAATAATCACAAGACCCTCAGAAGAAAATCTGGTGACCTCAACAACAACAACAACAACAACAACGACAACAAAGGGTTCACCATACATATAGTCAACAGTTTTGATGAAAATGTCGTTATTTGTGATTTTGATGATCCAATGAAATGTTGCCAAAATCATCACTTTCACCAAATACTTAACAATTATTGGACAAGGTTGAGCACAATAGCAATAATTATCAAGGCCCCAATTTGTGTATCTGCCTCAGTCTTTGGCTTTAACAGATAATGGAAACTTTCCAAAGCCCAAGGCTGAAGCGGATAACACAGACTGAGGTCTTGGGTAAAAGTGAAGAACAGTTTCCAAAAGATACTGTCAACTGTCAGCCGACAGTTGGCCAACAGCTGGCCAACAGATGGCTGACAGTTGACCGACAGTTTTCCTCATGTTGCAGGCCAAAGTTTTGGCCGACTGTTGGTGGGTCGTAAACTGAAATGATCATAAACATTTCCCTTTCTATTGCCTCTAAAACTACATGAAAAGGGGAAAAGTCATTTCAAAAGGATACCTTGCACTTTGCTTACTTGCTACCCCAAAATGCAGAAAAGAAGTTTTTTTGTGTACAGACAAGGATATTAGAATTAGGTACCAAATTTACCACTAAATTTTGGTATGTAAAGTCTGAAGATAGGTTAAACAAGCTTATTTTACATTTCAAACAGAATCAAGTAGATAGGTATGAATGGTGCAATTGGCAGATTTCTATTTACTGTTTACAGCTGGAAAAGTGTTGACTCAGTTTTTGTCAATTTTTGGTCTGCTTAATACTGTTGGTCGACTGTCGGTAACCTGTCAGCTGACAGGTTACCGACAGCTAAAAATGGGAACCATTGTTCACTATTACCAAGGCCTTGATAATTATCTATATCATGCAAAAACCAAATCAAATAATTGTTTCATTATGCATATTCCTGAGCTGCACTTGTAAAGACAAAAGTGCATAAAACTATTTTCTGTTGGTATGATGTCATTTCTACATGTATAAAATCTATTGTCTGTAGGTATGACGTAAGAGAATTTATAATAAATCAAGTTATTGGAGCCCCTCTAGCCAGGTTGCACCTATTAACTCATATAATATTGTCAACAACCTTTGGAAAATATTGTAAGAATTGTCACTTTAGCCAGATTTGTTGTTTTTTGTCAAATTGATCAACTTTTTGGAGCCCTCCTAACCAGATCATATCCATTCATATAATTTCATCAACAACCTTGGTGAAATTTCATCAGTAACATTACTTTTGACAAAAATTCCACAGATAGACACATTTCATCAATTCCATCAAAATTGTGGACAAAATTTCGTCAAATCTGCCCTTTTCATTACCGCATGCATTTCTAGACACGTCTCCAGTATACGACATATCTTGTTTCTCAATTTCATCCTCCATGTTCATGATCTGACACAATGTACAAGTTATTATGATTATCAATACTATTGATTTTTAAGTTTGTATGATAATAAGCATAGGCAGAGAGTATGAAAAGGTAAAACTAAACGAGGACACAGTCCTAACTTCAAAAACTGATTGACAAATAATCACAAGACCTTCACAGGACTATCAGCTAACTTTGACAACAATTATAATGTTCATTGCTCAATACTCCACAGTTTTAATACAAACATTTCTTAGCCTTGCTTTCACAGATTGGTATTAGGTGTAGCTTATTTCATGAGTTTGTCTTTCTTCTCTGTAAAACTGACACAATCGGCAAATTGTGGTAATTATTATTGTTTACTCTTGGCTCAGATCATAAGTTCAGTAATAAAGGCAGGGGGTGCTGCAGGGTCACACGAAAGTGGGTCAGAGTGGTAACTTTGAAAGCAGACGAGTGATAATCACAAGACCCTCAGAAGACTATAAGGTGACTTTGATAAAAATCAGGACTTAATTCAGCGACAGTCAAAGCAGGGCGTAAAATTGCACCTAATACAGCCGCCAATGCGACTAAATTTTTCACTTTGGCGACCAAATCCTGAAAATTAGTCGCCAAATTGGCCACTAGAATTTCTAATCACACCTTAGCGAGAGATCTAGTGATTGTTGAAGATTTGTAAAGATAAATCTGCAGCCAAGTTCCTCGTTGAGCTCATTTCTAAAACGCAGCACATGCACAATGTTGAACGTAGATCTATCCTCACTAGACGCCATAATGGATTTAGGTAACCTATAAAGTTGTATATGATCCATTCTAGTATCCTCTTTGTGGCTCGTGCGAATTTCACTGGCTCATTTTTGATGTTTGTATGACTGTATCACTGATATGATAATCTATCTAGTACAGTGACAAGGTAAATTTTTTTTTGGGTGTGTGTGTGTGTCATAATGGCCACCAACTTTTTGGAATTGGCTACCACTTTAAAATATTTAGGAGCCAAGTGGCTACTGGAAAAAAAAGTTAATTTTACGCCCTGCAAAGCTTTGACAGAAAAGATAATTTAATTGAGCAAAAATCCCAATTAAGTTTTAACAAAAAAATACTCAGTCTAACTATCAGTCTCAGTTTAGTCCTCCTCCTTTACAGACCTGGGACCCGTTTCTTGAGAGTTGTATAACTTAACTGGCCTGTAAAGCTGTTCTGTTTTCATTCAAGATGGGGATTTCAAAAGTTTTGAAAATGATACAGTACAACTATTAGCTAAAAAACAAAAAAAGACTGGCTTGGGTGCCAGAACCTGCTTTCCTATCCTTTAAATTTTGATTTTAAAACACTGCTTCACGCCCGTTAAGATACTGGGCCTTTTGAGAAACGGGTCCCTGCCCACTCAACAAGTCATCTCCATCTAACACAAATAAATCTCTACGGTTTCAGAAATTCTCTTTGAAGTTCCAGGACTGCCAAAGATCACAACACAAAGGCCAGGCCATCAATGGAACCTGGACCTCTCCTCACACATCTTTCACATTACACCTTATTACACCACACAACATGGAAAAATGCTCACTAACCACTGATCACAACATGTGTACTGGGTGGTACTAACACATAACTAAGTATATGATACATTTTCTCAATGGCATGCATGAATTGGTTGGTTACTTTTCCAATTCCCATCATGTTTGTAACTTTTGTGTCATACACAAGTGTGCTATAAAATAGGCCTGATACACATTAATGTTGCATATCATACCCTAACTGCAACCTCCATGAGTGGCCAAAACAGAATTTCTCCTTACAATATCAATACAATATCAAGCAGTTACCTAATGAGAATAAAGAAAAATATCAACTTGAGGACTATTAGTTGCTCAAATACCAACACAAAATTCAGTCCTGAGTAATGACGAGTACATTTAATGTTAAGTGGAATCACTTTTTCCTTACTACAATGCAACTGGTAAGCTTTCTTTAAGTACCATGGAAACAATGGCACTGTGAGAGTACCTCTTTAATTTTGTCCATATCTCCTCTGAGATTTTCATAAGTGTAGCTTGCTTCTTGTAATCTTGTAGTGAGTTTTACCAACATCTCAATGTCTAGTTTTCCAGTAGCACCATCATCTTTGTCGCGATGTCTGTTTGTGAAGTCCATAGATGCCATTGTTCGCTCTCTCTCAATCATCTTTTCATGAAGTTGCTTGTTTTCAGCTTTCAGACGATCTACAGTGTTTTGGAGAGACCTGATTTCATCCTGAATAATAACAAAGGAGATCTTTGCTTTCAAATACGATTTTTGTACCTTCCCTCATTGATTAAGTAAGAGAAATTTTTATTTTGGGGTTGAGCTATTGGAACAACAAGTTGGTTCTCTCTCCTCTCCCCCCTTCTCATATGATTTACTGCAATTCACAGACCTTGTGTTCATTCTTTTTTCTCTCTCGATGATATTAACTAACAAACTGCTAGTAGCTTGTCCTTGATAGTCAATTTCCTGTTAACTGGAAGTCTTTTTGATATCTCTCCCTTAAGATTACTTTACACAAAAGGTAACCCGAGATAATTTTAAACTTAATTATTTTATAAATATGCAACATGTCAAAACAGATAACACAAAAGTCCACATCATAGTATTTATTGATTTATTGTGAGACAGTCGTGTAAATTGCATGAATACCACACTTGTAGCTCAACAAAGCTGTCTTTGAAAAATGGTTGCAATGCACATCCTCCAAGCTGTAACTATTCTGGTTGCTATGGCAAGTAAAATACGTTTTTCGCAACTAAATTGGCTGCCATTTGGCAACTTGTACATGGTGGTAAAAAAGCAGGCTGTTATGTCATTTGTTACTAGTGTTTAGGGTCTACAGTTAAACCAAGATAAGTATTGGCATGAAATACTCTCACAGTAACTCTCTAACATTCTTTTTTGCAAACTTCCCATCTCTCCTTTTGGTTGGTGTTGTAATAATTTATAGTCTTCCAGTGAATCTCCAAAAATTAATGCTGACCAGGCTTTTATTTCTGGCGACCAAAATACAATTTTTAGTTGTCTAAAGGTCACTTTGACAAAGCCTAAACATGGAGCCCTAGAAAAGTACCTGAACTTCTCCAAACAAGTTGCTTTGCTTTATCTTACTTATTTTTGTATAATGTTCTTATTGAAAAGTTAATCAACATTTATCAATCCATTTTAACTCAACTTCCAGATACTTAAGTTTCCTTTAAGTGTACAATTTATCCACAGAAACAGCAAACATCTTTCAACCCTGATTTCCGGTAATTTGGTCTCATCTCCTAATAACTTGGAATTTCTTACAAGTCGAACCTTTATCAATTTGCCAGTTATCAGAAAACAATGCGACTCAATTTTCAGAAACATCTCCACAGCCATATCAGGCAGCGAGTGTCAAACATATTTGATTGTCATCTTGGAATGGCAGGCGAAGGGCTTCACATTTATCACTGTTCGACTACTCTGAAACAAACACAAGAACTCACGCAAACAGTGAAGCAAATTATACCAAGTCATGGTTGTCTGAATAGGAATGCAATAGCAAAGAGTCTTTTGTATGACAAGATTGTAAATGGTTTGATGGTCACTTTCAGGATATTAGTAAAACAGCTGACTAAGTTTGAACAAGGATACACTGTGTGTGTAAGAATGAGACAAGAAGACTCATATATGCCAAAAATTGTAAGTGGGCTTATAGTCAGCTCAAGGGGTGTCAATGAAAGCCAGTTCTAGAGTTTCCTCCCTGCTTACAGTATAAGGCTCTCACTGCTGGCTGGCCTTTATTGTGTTGATGTTTTCAACCTTCGACTATTCCTTTGATCGAAAATTGAAACCCCCGCCCTAAAATAATGGGGAGTAGAAGATGTCAGAGCCAGGACGCCTTTAATTTCATACTAAAACTGATTTCTCTTTTCTCTAAAAATCAACAGTAGTTTGATGTATTCACTGTTTCTGGCAGTTCAAAATCTCTAAGGCCACATGATTTCAAAGCAGCAACATGACTAAACCGCAGTTTCCATTCTTGGAACATGCAAAGTTTGGTAATTTTACACCATTGTTCTTCATAGGAAACCTAATAGATTCCAAAGTTTTAAAACACATGCTTTCATCTGTTGCGCTTCTTGATAAATCTGTTCTTTGGTTTGGTGCGCATTGCCATCATCGCATTCATAAGAATATATCAGACATGTTCAAAGACTAGGCAACAAAGCATGCTCCCACGCTCATCAGCATTGATTGACACTTTTTTCAATGCATCAATGAACTCCGAAATTATCATCTTCCTTAATCTATTGACACAAAAGAGTTTTCTAACATAACACATCCAAAGCGCATACAAGATGCTTGACACGCATGATCCAGGTATACAAAAGGCTTATACCAATAAGTTTGCTGTGGCCAAGATTGTGACGCATCTGACTGAGTTTTCAGATGGTCTAAATTTCGCCATGCTGTGGGAGTCTCACTTATTGTTTGCCGCCCCATGTTCGTGACAGATGAGTTACATCTTTCTTTGGTATCACGAGCTGTGGTCATGGACAAACAACCTTTACACCCACCAGCTTAAAATCTCCCTAGAAACCGCTCTACATCAATCGTTAATTTGACATTGGCCACTGGCATCAGAATGTTAAAGTACAGTTTTGGATACGAAGAAAAACCATCAGTGCTGCTTATGGCTGCTTTCAGAGCCAAGTACCATCACTGAAATCTGTTACATATTTATAAGTGACCACATTGCAGTTTAAACAACAAGCTATTCAACATTTGGTATCACAAAAATGAATACTCCCAGGTTTGGTGAAAACAATTGGTCGTCACCCTAAGTTGTCATATGAGACAATCAATTCACAACAAAAACATGTTGTCTAAAATGCACATGTAGAATGCATACCACCCAAAATAGTAATATTCTATATCACTTGGCACTAAGCCAGTGCCTGTTAGGGAAGTAAATCGCAAGTAATGAAAGAATCCCTGGATCGCAATGACACGCAATGGGTCTAACTAAAATATTAATAGAACAACTTTGTTTTTTCCTTTTCATGTTGCCGCAGGTATGTTAATACCATTCATATCGGGGATTCGGGGGAGTGACCCTTCCAACTATTGAAGTACAAGTTATTTGAAACTACACAAAGATTTTCATCAAAAAGTGAAAGCTTGTATAGAGGGCAACCTTGTGTTCAATACTGGTTTACAAATAGTCACGTATCTTGTCGATGGATGTTGTTTCAGATGACACCTATGCTTGTGTATTATAACAATAGAAGCTGCCTAAAGAAGTTGGAGTGCGATGAATTACTTAATGACATTTGTTGCTTCTTTGAGGATAAAGATATTGTTTTACAGGTTTAGGAAATACTTATGGTGGTGATAAGAGGAAACCTGTAAGAAACTTCTAACACCATCTCTCTAAGTTCAGAAGAAAAACAGGATTAAAAGTTGTTTCACTTAACATAACCTTTCCGTGACAAATACATCTAGGTCTGTGCTTAAGTGTATAATTGTTTTCCGGCAGTGAACTCAATAATCACCAAAATTGATTCAACCCCATGATGTTTTGGTATTTCCTGTCTTGTGTCCTACAGGAGACTCCATTTACAAACACATTTCTATTAGATTAACTAGCGAGCTAGTTCTAACAATAACAGATCAAAGTCTGCTTTGTAAGACACATATAGATGTTTTGCATCAAAGTGTACAGGCACAGTACTATGACCTCTAACAACATAACTGCCATATTTTGTTACTGAATTGGATATTACATGCGTATACCATCATGAAAAAGCATGGCCCATCATCCATGTTTCTTACAGAGGTAAATATAAAACAGTGAAACCACAATGGCATGATATTTCTGCATGGCCTTAGGAATTATGTCATGCGACTTGCATGCAAGAGTCTCTTTGTTTACCTCATATTCTTGCCTTATTAAGTTAAGTCTGGTACGTCTTAAGTCTGCCCTTGTTACAGCATCGTTACTCACTGGCAAATCAATACTTCCTAGTGAAAAATAGTATAAAACACGAAATTTTTTTTCTCTTCTAAATATATTATTTCTCTAAGATTATTGAGTGCATATTAATTTAACATTGTAAAGAGAGCATTGATCACATGGTGAAAAAACTGTCTGAGTGCGTCTGAAAGGGAAATAAATAGTACTTAGTCACCTGGAGTTGCCACAGGAACAGCACACTTAAATCATTGTTATTTTAATTTATTCATGTCTGGCTTAAGGCATCATAAAGTGCTAATAGCATATTGCGCAATAGAAAACCGACAGCTTGTGGTTAATAGGAAAAAGAGGGCGACCATCCAATCGAAACCATCTCACTGTGGCTTGAAAAGCTTTTGCCACGTAAACAACGAACCTTATTGGTCAAGAAGATTGACATCCCAATACACAATTGATTCAGATAAAATGCAGGTTACAGAGGTCATTTGATAAATTGCCTTGCTCACGTTTGTTGGATAGTTCACACAAAGGAGGTATGAAAAGCATGTGCTACCTCAGACGGTCACTGACCCACAAGTCCGGAGCCATATTGTGCGTGCAAGTCAAGGGGCAGGACTTTAGAGCTTAGCTCTGACTAAATGCAAAAATACCTGTATCATGTTTTAAGGGATTGCACCTGAACACAAGTAAACATTTCCTTTGTTTCACAGTTACCCAGGACAACTTCAAAATCAATTTCCCTCATTTTGTGCGTTTAGTGATCCAACTGAACCAACAGATGAACAGTTAAAAATTCTTTCAATCGCTTACAAGAATTGATAACAAATTAAACACTATTCTTTCAGAATCTAATTAAGATCTAGAATTTCTTCGGCCAAAGAAAGACTCGATCATCATTTCCTGAATGCAATTACGCCCTTGAAACACCGTAACCCGGCCGGCGTCAAACACAGCAATAATCAAGCATAATTCCCTTTTAACTTCCCCTCTAACTTAACCTTGGAAAGTCGCCCCTTCTAAAAGCGCAATGTTAGTTCAGCTAAAATCACAGCGCCTCGCGAAAGTTCTTACCAAGAATTTTCTTGCAAGGCTTCTCCGTTGTTATCGGCGTTCGGCATGTTGGGCAGAATGAGTGAGTTCGTAACCACAAATCCATACAGTTTGAGCAAAACACATGTTGATTAGGACAAACTACAGGCTCTCTAACCTGAATATAAACCACACATGGAAGGTTAGATCATGTACTTTCGAACTGACGTATTCTTCGACAGAGCGCGCGCGAAATTACAAACACCACATGGCAACAAGTGTCACTAACAGCGAGGTTCTTACCTTCCCTAGACATATCTGGCACGAGATCGGAAGAGTCATAGAGAGGGAAGTTGAAGAAACGGAGACCTTTTTGTTCGCCATGAGTGTTTATACTTCGTCCGGTGTCATGCCATATGATCTATTGGAGTGAGCGTTAAACTGTTTAAACCGTGACATCCTGGGTCTCATCTCCTTGACACTGGCGAACAGCGGACACACAAGAAGTGCATGCTCAGTAAACTGTGGAATCCAACATGGCGGCAATTTCGAGAGCGACTGGAATAGATCAATGGTGGAAAAGCCTTATTGTTTTCTCTATATTGCTGAAATCTGTCCTGATACCAGCGTAGTACCATTCACGTCACCATTGTCAATTTGTTGAGTGTTGATCATTGATATGTAAACTCATAAAGGTTATTTTCAAATATCAGTTTGTGTTCGAGCATTAGCTAGCTAGACAAGTTAATTATTATTTTTTAATCCAGTCGCTAACATTTAACATCCAGTGGCCATCTGATTTCGGTCCTTCCCTAAGCTGCCTCAATGTGCATTCATGTTGACATACGTTGTTCACAATTTAGAGCTTGATTTGTTTTCGCAAATAACAGTGCAAAGATTGCATGTGGTCGCACTATATTCATTTGATGAAGGCTGATATTTTTATCAGCGTAGCTAACGCACATCGTTGGCAAATGCTTATATTGTGTTTATGAGCAGGTTGAATTGAAGCCAAGTAATGTTACAGAAGTACATCTTTGCTTTTTGATACTGAATCTTCTCTTTGTTTTGGTGAGCACTTCAGACAACAATAGTTGTGAAAATTAATCTTCACCAGTTCAACATAATGGTTTGGAGCGTAGAATGTTGTTTGTGTCAGGTTCGCACTTACTTCTTACGTCTGAGAGGTAATTAGCAATGTCTGATTACATAACATGAGGGGCAACAAGACAACAGTACAACATTATATTGTGTGCACTGACAATTAGAAGAAAGCATATTTTGTTATTAGGCTCTGTTTTAGATGACTCTTAACTCTGTCAAATGATACTTTGCAGGTTTTTTTATATGACTTGTCCCATCTGCAGTTCTTAGATGTAATTCTATAAAATCAATGAAGAGATTGTCAGAGTTCAGATGCATTTAAATTTACTTTGAATGGAATTAAGTGACATCATTGTGGTGTTTTGTTTGAATGGATTTTCTTGCAGCCATTCCAGTGATTTTGAAGTGCACAGAAATTGGCTTGCCATTACAAACAGTCTGCCCTTGTCAAAATGGTATTTTGAGGTTGGTGTGTGCACGCAACACTTAATAGTAATACTAATTATTAATAATAATTACAGTAATAATATAATAGTAATGAAATTTATAATAATAATAATGATAATGATGATTATAGTAGCAATAATGCCAACAATGACATTTTATTAGAATGTATTTTATGCAAGTTGCCGTATAGCCTATGGGAGGTTTGGCACAGGATTTTGTTGGTTTAAATCTAGGGCAAGCTAGGCTCTCAAAGTTATGTTGTTATATCACTGAGCATCCATCTCCCCTCCGGATTATAAATTAACTGTGCAGAAAAGAATATTATTGTTGTTCATTACTCATGGCTTACCTTTTGCTTATCAAGGATAAACAATGTTAAATGGCTCTGACAAAGGGCTAACGCTCGAGACATCAGCTTTTTAACTCTTTATGGTAGCCAATTTACAATAATATTTCAACTTAATTGATATAACCAAATTACCTTGTGAAATGGCTAAGCTATGGAACAGTATTTGATATCTGTTAGGATAATAGTCTGTATTGTGAAAATAAATTTTTCTCGAAAATCTAATCAGGAATTGCTAATCCTCTTATTATAACTCAAAGTTCCTATTTCAGTGTGTGATGCGCTTATTCAAAGGGTTCACATACTTAAGGGCATTGATATTTAATCACTAATAACTGCCTAAACTAAAGTGTATTCAGTTTTGGGAACACTTACAACTAAACGAATTTTACCATGAATAAATGAATCGAAAAGGAAATTGTTGTATTTTTGTAAATGTTTTACTTCAATTTATAATTATGTTTTACTTGTTTCAGTATTTAAAGTAATTGTCTTTAATTGCCAGGATGCCAAACAAATTATTTCAATGGAGTTTTGTCTAAAAATATTTTTCTTGGTAGGTCTCTTACTTAGGCAGGCTAGTAACTCATTCCTCAGCTTGACACCCATGTTAGAAAAATAGTTCTTATGTTTTTCAGTTCAGAATTTTTTTAAAATATAAATTTTTGTCGAAGGAAGATCACTTGTTATTTGAATGAATGCGCAACACGTTGGTGAATGGTTGCAGGATGTTTAATAGACTGTGGTTTTAACCCACTCTCATGGGTGAAACTAGGTATTACTTCATGGCATAGCAAGTTTAGTAGTGAAACATTTTCCTCAATAAGGAAAGGAGCATCTTATCTTTTGAAACACAATTGTGGCTAAAGAATTTCAATTGTATTCTATTTGGGTTTTTGCGTGGGGTTATACAAGGATTACACAACAGTAGATACTTCTCCTCTTATCAAAGTGTGTTTGCTTTGTTTGCCAGTACTCTTTAAACTTTAAACTTTAATAACAAATACTCCCAAAAAGGTTTTTCAGTACCTATTTACAAATATGAATGCTAACTATATCTAACAAGCTATTGTTAAATTCTAAATTCTAACTGTCACTCGATCATTCATTCATGGCAAGTTTCAGGACTTTCTTAAAGGCCTTTGCAGATGTAACGTTTTCAGTACTCATCATTTAGTTGATTCAGTGGGTAGTTTGTAATTCTTATCATCTGCATTAGGATGATAAGAATTCCATCGACGTGGAGACACCACAGAATGTAATTCAGTTTTAATTGGTTAGTCATTTGGTTGTGTTTACAGTTAGAAATTTGACTTTGTTTGTTATCAGTTCAATCACATCTTCGTACACATTCATTTGGTTTAAAAGATACCTGTGTATTTGATGTGGTGGTGTAGCATTCATCTACAATTGTCTTACTACTTGTCCAGGGAAGTGAAAGATTAGGAAGGGAAGGGAAGGGAAGAAAGTACTCATTTAAAATTTTGGCCAATAAGAAGGGAACTTTTAGTAGGGCAGTTTCTCTCTCATTAAAATAGATTAAAAGAACTTTTTAAAGCAGTCTTTTAAACTCTGTTAAACTATTGTGAATTTCAAGCAATCTTTGGCAGTATAAGAGATACTACGGGTGGTAAATTTTAACAGTTACTGCCTGAAAAGGTCAACACTGCAAGGAGATACTTATTCAAGGAGCCAATATGTCATCCTTTGTCTGTAAGAACGTAAACTTGATTTTGGCTGAAGGCATCACAAAGTAACAGGCAGAGATGATCCCAGTCCTTTAAATATCATCCATCTTGCTAATGAATTATTTTTCTTGCACTTGTAGGAAACATCAGAGTGGACCCTTGATTATCCGCCATTGTTTGCCTGGTTTGAGTATTTGTTATCACAAGTAGCTGCCCTGGTTGATCCCAAGATGGTGATTATAAGCAAGTTAGCATATAAAAGTCTTCCAGCTGTTCTGTTCCAGAGAGGATCTGTTATGTTTACGGACTTGCTGCTGGCTTATGCAGTGAAGGAGTAAGTCACTCCTAATGGATAAATATTTTTTTATAATGAAATGTTTGCTCTGATTATCTAAAAAGTGCTTTGATCTGGTAAATTGCAGGGCTCCAATTTCATTTTGGATCACTAACCCTTTGGTTTAGTAGACATATATTTTACTAACCAAATTATAAAGTTTGGTATCCAAGCTGACAAGTTACAATATCTCAAATATTGAACATTTTGATAATAGCGACTAGGACAAATTAAAGAGTAGCTCAAATTGCATGATGACCTTAAAAATGTTGACAATTATGCACCTATTTTATTTTCCTCTCGTTTACCATGATTAGTCAAGAACAGTACATCTACAGCAAATTCTCTAAAAAGAGTTGAAGTTGACTTAACAACCTGAGTATCCTAAGTATTCCTCTGAGAGTCAGGTCTATGTGCTCTTTGTTTCGAAATCCACCAATTTTTAAATATGAGAAAATTTTACTAACCATGTCGGGTTAGTTGGACACATTTTTAGTAACCAAACGTTGAAAATTACTAACCATTGGTTAATGGGTTACTGTTACTTTCGAGCCCTGAATTGACTTTATGCAATCGAGTTTCACAAAATGCTGGTACAAACTATTGCTTGTAAAAACCTGTTGAAATGAAATTTGAAATAATATAACATTGTGTATACAAGAAAGAGGAAAAAATAAAGCCTGGTTTGTCAGTGATGTAAGTGCAGTGAAGAAAATAATCACAAGGAGAATAACTTTGATATTTCAACCATAAAAATGCCATTATGGTAAGGACTAGGATACATGTATGACAATAAGGTTAAATTTGATCATTGTGCTTTTATTTACAAATTTCACATTGATTTAGTTCATGTGCTTGTGTTTATGCCTCAACTTGTACTGTAAGGGAACTTAAGGAGTCAAGATGGCAACTCTTAGAAAACTTCAATTAAAAAATGATGTTTTAGTAAAAATTTCACAAATGGTCGGCCTTTTTTGTATGGCGCCACACCTTAATTTTAGCACACCTTAATTTTAGCACACCTTAATTTTAGCATAACAGCAGTGTTAAGTTCCAAATGGAAACTTGGAATATAAATGATTTTCTAAGGGGGTTTTGATTCTCAGACCATGCAAATTTTGATTTTACATTGTAGTTTTGTGGAGGGTAGTGAGGAAATGTACAATTTTTTTTAATGTACATGCTGAGCTATTGCTCCATGCATTAGATCTTTTGTTTTCCCAAGTTCAGTGTTGCCATCACTGTTACTGTTGTGGTTTGCTTAGGGTCCTTATCAAGGCATGTAAAAACTGTGCCTTTCTGTAAAAACTAATTTGGATACACCAGAATGTTCAACTCTGAACATACCAAGAGAGAATGATGTGAGTGTGGATGTTATGTGAAGTGCACATGAATTATTTAATGGGTTTCATGGATAAATCTATGGCTCTCAGAAATGTTTTTGAATTTATTCCATTTATGAAGTTTTAATTGAAGTGGTCCTAGAGTGTGTTTACCTAATGGCAGAGAAGTGCAATGGTCACTCTACCAATTATGAACTCTGTTTTCCATGGTAATGTGTGTTGGAGTTGTCAGTGTACAAATTACTGTTCAGTAGCATTGAGTTCATTGTAATGAGCTCCAGCTATAGAGGATTGGTTTCCTTCCCTTGACTGATAATTATGTTTCATTTTTCGGTTTCAACATGTTACTTTTGCCGTGCCTTTCTTTGATTAGGTGACAGTTTGAATAATTACTAACAAACTGTCAAGGAGACTTCATAAAATACCAGGGTAATGGCAATCCATCTGTGGAGATGGAAAAGCTGCTTTCGCAAGTTGGGCTTACTATTAATCACCTGCTTTTACCCCTTAGGTATTGTAGCTATCTTGCTAAGAAGTCTTCTGTTCCTGTACGCAACTGTCTGATCTTGGCAATTTTGGTCATTTTTAATTTTGGACTTCTAATAGTGGATCATATCCTTTGGTGCTGTTGTTAGATCAGACAAACAGAACAGTCAGACTGACTGAATTAGTTCATCAGGGACATGTTTGTTTAATAGAGAATTTGCTAAATATGAAATGATTACATTTTGATTGCATTGTAGTTGGTCATAAAACTTGTAAAATAACCAAAATTTGACAACTTTTCAATGGCCCAAGTCATAACTAAAGTAAAAAGCTCAGACTTGTGAAATTGTTGACTATGGCTATAGCAGGGAAAGGTTAGTCAACAACTTATTTATGATGTGCTGAAAGTGTCTTGATGCCAAATGTATGGACCAAATGTAGTAAGTAATTACCATTAACCCAAAGGGATTCACAAATTCCTTGACGTCTTCCAGACATTCATTTCCAATACAACGGGTTCTTGTTTGGTATTCTGCTTCTCTCTATAACAAAGTTGTCAGAGGTACTAATTTTTTTTTTTTTTTTTTTCATCTCAGTGATGATATGTTCAATGTATTTCCCTTTAATGCCTCGTGATTTAACCCTTTAATTTCCCAGATCTGATTATTAATTCTTCCCTGGTGTACTAAATAAATTAGTTACAAGAATTTGATATTAGATCAAGATAAAAACTTCTACCTGATAAGTTTGAATAAGTATTACCTGTTTGTTTGGTGATGATTGGATGTTCTAGGGAGGAGCAACATGTTAATCACTTCTGGCCCCGGTTGTTCAAAGGATGGATAACGCTATACACTGGATAAATCTCTATCTGGTGGATAGTGCAGTACGTTTTGGTAACACTTATCCGCTGGATAGCGATTTATCCATTGGAGAGAAAGGGTTAAGGAAGTTTTGATCTCAAGGGGAAAAGGCTTTCTTTTTAAAAGTATGTCTGCCTTTGATCCTTGTGCTGTTATATAAATTAGTTAGGAGGTTCATCTGTAATAAGCCTCATGGTTTTTTTTATGATCCTCCATACCTATTTGAATTTAATAGAATGTAATAGATTTACTGCAAAATGATAAACTGAACTGGTAGCAGCATACATACTGGTTCTGACCATTATTACTGTAATCCAAGAGCCATTTTCACACCCATTTTAAAGTCAATAATGGTAAAATTCTCTTGAAAATTAATCAGCATGAATTTCTTTTTGATTCTTTTCCTTTGTTATATGATTTATTTGAAGATGAAAAAGCAATTATATTTAATGTAACTATGCTCTTGTGGTTCCCTTGATAACCATGTTTGCATTTTCAAGCAGGGAGTATAACAATGTAATTTTGGTTTTATCAACTGAGTTGATAATGTAAATTTTCCAAAGCTGCTTTGAGCATCAGCCCTTTGTCAGAGTGAGTGACAAAGGGCTGACCTTTGAAACAACATCTTTGAATTCTCTATGGTGGCCAATTTGCAGGTGGTAAAACCAAAATTACCAAGCAATAGGGCTGCTTTTCAATTTTTCAGAGTTTTGCCAATTTACAATGCTTTTGCTATAATGGTTTCACTGGTGAGCACACAAGAGTGTGTGACAGTATTCAGCTCAGTTGTTGTTACTGTAAAGTATAAGTGACTTATTTCAATCTCATTTTAGTTGCTTACTCATATGGTAATTGATATTGCAGGGACGTGCATTGGAAGGCTCTTTTTGGTTTGCAGTTCTGCTGAATTTCAAACACATCTTTCTCTACGTAGCCCCAGCATACTTTGTTTTCCTATTGCGGTCTTACTGTTTCCAACCATCTGCGACTGAAAAGAAAGGTAAAAAAAAACTGCATACTTAGGTAAATGATGTATGTGATGCACTTCGTTGTCAAGAAACCATGAAAATTAACCCTTTAACTGTTATGAGTGACCAAGACAATTCTTGTAACAATATCAAGCAGACAAGGTATTTAAGAACAAGGAAAAACCGCCTCTCGGTTAGCTCAATTGGTTAGAGCGCTGGACTGTTGTGTGGGAGGTTGAGGTCAATGGTTTGAGCCCCGGCCGGACCAACACTCAAGGTCTTAAAGTAACTGAGGAGAATGTGCTACCTTTCTATATCAAGAAATGGATAGATGGCGCCACACCTTAATTTTAGCACACCTTAATTTTAGCATAACAGCAGTGTTAAGTTCCAAATGGAAACTTGGAATATAAATGATTTTCTAAGGGGGTTTTGATTCTCAGACCATGCAAATTTTGATTTTNATGTTGTGATGCGCATTTGATCACATCCACATCTTAATTTGTGCACTATAAATATTAAATTATTATTATTATTATATTATTATTAAAATTATGATGTAGGAATTATTAGCTAATCCAATACCAAATTCCATTACCAAATTTTCTGAAGTAACATTGCAAGAATTGTATAGGAGACAGTATGGAAAATAACTTACAAGGTCTTGGAAGTCAAAGGGTTAAGACAGTTCAGCTTCTTCTAACTACTTCCTTGACACATTTCATGGCCAAATTTTTTCTCCCAGTGGCTGCTTCAAGCTTTCACTAGTGTTTAAACCCATCTTCAAGGGTATCTACAGTGTATATGCCACTCATCTGAGGAACAAACTAAGAGTCTGCTTTGGTTGAGTAAAATATGACACATCGCTTGAACAGAAAGCCTTTGAGAGATTAAGTTTGTTAAAATATAAATGAGAAATGAAGGAGGTAAATTGTCTCTAATGCATGACTGGTGTCAATTTTCACTTATCTAAGGTGATCAATAGTTGATAGCAGTGAATAATAACCTATTTTCCCCTTAATACATGCAGTTGAATACTGTCAAATCCCCCCCCCCTCCCAACACTTCCAGGTAGAGCCTACTTACAGCCCCTGGCTGGGGTGTTCAAAGCTGTGCTGGGGTGTTCAATGCGGGGCTGGGGTGTTCAATGCTGGGCTGGGGTGTTCTGGGCTGGGGTGTTCAATGCTGGGCTGGGGTGTTCAATGCTGGGCTGGGGTGTTCAATGCTGGGCTGGGGTGTTCAAAGCTGGGTTGAGATAACCCAGGATTAGTGTGGAATCTGATTTCAGATCTGGAGGCTTTAGAAGGAAATTCAGTTGTAAGAATCCTCTATATCTACGATTTGGTTGCTCTAAAAAGAATAGAGAATATTATCCCAAAGGCTTTTGAACAAAGGAATAAAGAAACCTACATTAAAATTTAACCCTGGGTTAGGACTTACTGGCCTTTCAACTACTGGGCTCGGTATTACAAATATAAAGCTGTTGGGAGAAGGGTTGTTTGAAAAAATGACATAGCTGGGAAGATAGGACAAAGTGCATGCGTCAACCTTTCTGCAAACAACCATTGACGGCATGCTGTGTCTTTTTAAATACTGAGTTTTAGAATATTTGAATTTATAGATGACGTGACTAACAGTGATTCTTTATTTACCTTTGTAGAAAAACAGTTGAGAATTTTTGATGTAAATATTTGGGATTTTTCCCCTTTGAAGTTGATGAGACTTGGTGTCGTAGTTGTTTTGGTATTCAGTCTTTCGTTTGGACCATTCATAGCTATGGTATGGTTACTTATAACATGGCACAATAGGCAAAATATTAACTTACTCATGGTCAGCCTGTAGTACAACAAAATTAGGTTGTTATCCAATATTTGTTTGAACTTGCAATTAGCTTGTGATACAGTGACATCATACCTGCAGGTTAGCTGCATTAATTTTTAGCGATTGCAGAAAAGAAGCAGTGAGACTAGGAACACAGTGTCAATGGGAATCATGTTTTTTTAATCATTCTAGAGCATGGAGGATTTTGGTTGATGCACTTTACTTAGCTTTGTGGTTGGTTTAAAGAAACTTGGGCTGCCCTCTGAACCATTCAGATGCAAATCTTAAACCAAACAAGATTTGTTTGTATTTTTCTTTGCTTCAGGCAGTTTGCTGTTTAAGTTTTTTAGTTCTCTCAATTCTCACTGACCTTTTTTTTCACTTTGTTTTGGTTTTGTAAGATTCAATATTCAAAATAAATAACTTTTTTTACATTTTTGTTTTACCAATGAAATGTTATTAACAATACTATCAATAATTCTGTACAATGTATTAACTGTCTTTTAATTACGACATCACTTATGATGCATTACATGCAATATATTACAAACCTTAAACTTCTCACAATAAATTCCTTGCAATACATTATGTTTCCTTCAGTGCCAGTTGATATTAACCACGAATATTTAAAATCTATTCCTTGAAAGCACCTTGCATAAGAGATGGAAAAAGTAGTGGCTATGTAGCACTGAAATGGCCTTAACTAATCTTGTAACTAATCTTGTATCCAACAAGGGCAAATGAAAAGACTGGGTAATTATCAAATTGCATGAATTCCTTACTGTTTAGATATTTCAACCACAAATTTTCAGCTTCCAAAATTCTTCCCATGCATTTCCATATAGGGTGACTCAGAATATGAGCTGATTGCTGTGATTGAGTGAACCATCCAGAATACTAGAAATGCAGTATCTGTAGTTGAAAATTTACTGTAATATAATACCTATGAAACAGTGGCAATCCAGGAGGATTATCAAGGGAGGTGTGACATATGCCCTTCCCATTAGACCTGTGGGTTTTTATCACTTTTAGCACCAGAATTAAGCTTTGTACATATTATGAAACATATTTTATTTGTACTTGGCTTGAAAATATCTCTTATGTTGAGACTATAGACTGAGTTGAAAATATTTTTATGTTTTCTGAATCAAATTTTCCCCCCTTGCTTCCACCCCCTCCCTGTCCAACTCATGTGATAAATACTCATAATTCTTACTCTAGTCATAGGAAAAATAGGTTGATTTACCACCAATACAAATCTTGTTATGCCAGAATGAGAGGGGAAAGTTTTCTGAAACTAGTTATCAAGAATACTGGTTTAAAAAAAGACAAGAAAATGCAAGACAGATTTTGTTGTGTGTGTACATGATGTTTTATTAATTTTAATCAATATTATTTTTTTCATTTAGGGTCAGTTACCCCAGGTGCTATCAAGACTCTTTCCTTTCAAACGAGGTTTATGCCACGCCTACTGGGCTCCAAATTTCTGGGCTTTGTACAATGCACTGGATAAGGCTGTAGCTATTTTTGGTGAGGTGTAGATAACTTAATGACAGGTTTAAAAATAGGCAGTCTATGACTGCATGTATCCACAGGATTATTTATAGTTGATTGACTTCTGTTGGCTAATTTCAATCATGGACTAGTTTCTTACATGGGGGGAGCAAATATTATTATATGGAATGACCCAATTGTAACCAGAAGCATCGTATGAACATGCACAAAGGCACCTAAACCGCCCGTAACCGCGCGATTCGGTCGCGCGAAAACGCTTTTCCCCCTACCTCCCCTACTAAGCAGTATTTTGTCCTCAAACCTCCTCTATTGTTAGGAGATCCACAAACCAATCAAAATCCGTCGTTTGGGCATATATTTTGATGGATTTAGGGGTACTCGAGGGGCATCATTCTATGCATTCACACTAAATGATGAAATTTGTAAACATGGTGTCTGCGTGGCCGACCTTCAAAATTTTTAAGTCCGATTTTTCGTTCCTTTGCGATGGATTTAGACCTTGTAGAACTCAGAATGTAAAGTAAAAATACTATAGAATACTCTGTTTGGAAGATAATGAATATCAAGGTCTTAAAGGTGACAGAATAAGCTCTCGAGTCAACGACACTGTGATTCTCAAAAGCGGCGCGAATTGTGGCTGTAAGCCGAAAACCGAACTTTCGGACTTTAAGCAGGGCCTAGCAACAATTTGATGATTCCATGGCCCGGTAGATATTACACTTGAATAGCAATATGTTAAAAAGTATTGTTTAATAGAAGATTTTGGGTCAAATCGTAGTACTTTCAGGATTTCCAACACAACACTACGCAATTTCTTTCCGTGAAGTCAACTAAACAACGATCTAAGCATTATGAATATTCTATCGCCTGGGCTTTGTACACGTAAGAAATTCATCCGTTTTTCGCTTATAACAGCGGATCAAGAACTGTTTTGAATTAAACTGTCGTCCTCAGATATTTCTTGGTCATTTTCGTCCTACTTCCTATTCTTTGTTTTCAGCCACGTGACCAAATTTTGTAACGTAAGTCGCGACCGCCATGCTGGTGGACATCTGTTAAAGTAAATATGGCGTTGGCAGACGCACCTTCGAGTGAAAGTGTTCCTTTTTCGGAAAATTATGGCAGTCTTACCAGTTCTGCTAGGGCCAGGTATCGAGTAAAAGTTCTTATCTGTGGATTTGATCCTTACACGTTAAAAAAATCTGAGTGTAGCGAGGATTTAGTGGATTATCCTAGCGTGGAAATTATACCCAGACATTGTGAATTATCTGGTACTCCAGACCTCGTGGATAACCGGGCAGCAATTGAAGCGTATAAGTCATGTGTGGGACTTAGAACAGAGCCTGATGGAGAATGGATTTGCCCTTCATGAGCACCATGAAATTGATGTGCAAAAATTTGGAATTGTTGGTATAAAGAAATGTTGTTGTTGTTCATGATGTCCAAAGTTATTCAGTTCTTGTATTTATTTGTTATGATACCATTTGATTACAACAGAAACATTTTTTAAGCTACCTATACAACATATGTTAACCCCTTCATTAGCCACTTTAGGCTTTTTTATCGTTGGTTGAATGTTTTATTAGTATTAGGAACCACCATTATTATTAATAACTACACAAATTTAATTCAATTCCGTTGACTGTAAGGTATGGATTAGGCCTAAAAGTTATATTTCTTAACTTAGAAACTCCTTGAAGAGGAAATTGTTGCTGAATTAAACATCATGTTTTCCCAATGATACCTGATAAAATATTGATACTCCCACAAAGGGTCTAAATACTCTAATTAAAAGGCACAGACACTCTGATATATTAGTAAGGGTGCAGCAAGTTACTGCAATTTTGTCTATTGGAGCCAAGTCATCACCTTGCCGAGCTGTCACCAGCTGAATAGGGAGTATTTCTTGAAATATAGTGTACTTTCTGCGGACAAGACCAATCATCCTTTCCACGTGGATTCGGACATTAGCAATTTTTCTGGTTTGCTCCACTTCCTCTGCAGACAACTGTTTCTTACCTCTAGTAAATGCTGGTATATGAAGGTGAGCTTGATAAAGACCAACAGGGTCAGCAATATCAAAGCCCCTGTCAGTAAGCAATATGTCCCCAGGTAAAAGCTTTCTCAACAAACCAGACTTTTCTGTGAGATATTTGTCACTCACTCTCCCACCCCATGCCTTTGAAATGAATGAGATAACACCTTGTGGTGTTACACCAATAAGAAACTTTATAGTATTGTGATGTTTATAATTAGACCAGGTCATTGCCCTAGCAATTAG